ATGCTTTTTGGAGCAACTGCAGTGAGGGAGGAGGCCAAAAAAAAAAGACATAAAAAAAAAGTTATATTTTATTTTTTTTTATTTTTTTTTTTTCGTCTCTTCTCTAGTGCTTTAGGAGGACTGAGTACGTCGCGCGCAGTACAGACTAGCCCCTCGCTTCCTCCGTCTCTCGTCCCTTGTTATGCGGTCCCTGCAATTATTATTCAGTATCTTTCTGCCTTGTTTTGTTTTTGCTTCTATTTCCCACTTTCACGCCTCTTGTCCGTTGATTCCCCCCCGCAGTGGACGAAGTTAGTGGGGCTGGCGCGGCCTGCAGCAGCAGCGGCGGCGTCGCGTCGCGTCGCGTCGCGCGGGTTGGGTGGGGGGCGGGCGTCTCAGAGCAGCGGAACTCCCTGGCCGTTGAGGAGCGTCCCCGGCGGGTACTCGAGGCTGCTCGTGGTCTCCGGCTTCATGGCGGGGAAGAGCAGCACCTCCTTGATGTTCGCCTGGCTGGTGAGGAACATGACGAGGCGGTCGATGCCCATCCCCCAGCCGCCGGTGGGGGGCAGGCCGTGCTCGAGCGCCTGAACGTAGCCCTCGTCGAAGTCCATGGCCTCGTCGTCGCCCTTCTCCTTGTCCTGCAGCTGCTTCTTGAACTCCTCGCGCTGCACGATGGGGTTGTTCAACTCGGTGTACGCGTTGCAGAGCTCCTTCTTGTTGACGAAGAGCTCGAAGCGCTCCGTGAGCTGGGGGTCCCTGCGGTGCCACTTGGCAAGCGGCGACATCACGCGGGGGTGGTCGCAGACAAACGTCGGGTCGTGGCACTCCGGCTCCAGGTAGTGGGCAATCAGCGCGTCCAGCAGGCGCGCCGTGGTGAGGGGGGGGTTGCACTCCACCTTCAGCCGCTTGCAGAGCTCCAGCAGGAAGCCGTTGGCCGCGGAACTCTCAAAGTCGGTGGGGAACTTCACCCCCGTCCGCCGCTCCAGCTCGGGGACGATGTACAGACGCTTGAAGGGCTTGTTGAAGTTAAAGACCACCTCCGGCAGCGGGTTGCCCTCCGAGTCCTTCGGGGCGTACTTCACGAGCGGGGTGCCGTGCACGTGCATGGCGAGCCCGTAGAGGAGGTCCTCCGTGGTGCGCATCCAGTCCTCGTAGTCCATGTAGGCCCAGTACGCCTCGACGCTGGTGAACTCGGGGTTGTGCGTGAGGTCGATGCCCTCGTTGCGGAACTGCTTGCCGAGCTCGTAGACGCGGTCCAGGCCGCCGACGACGAGCTCCTTCAGGTACAGCTCGGGGGCAATGCGCAGGTACATCCTCTGGTTCAGCTCGTTGTGGTGGGTGGTGAAGGGGCGGGCGGCGGCGCCGCCGGCGATTTGGTTCAGCACCGGCGTCTCCACCTCGAGGAAGTCCAAGTCGTCGAAGAAGCGGCGGACGTAGCGGATGATCTTCGCGCGCGTGAAGAACGTCTTGGCGTTGTCGCGGTTCACGATGAGGTCGAGGTAGCGCTGGCGGAAGCGCTGCTCCACCGAGCTCAGCCCGTACCACTCGTCCGGGAGCATGTGGAAGCAGGTCGAGAGCAGCGTGATCGCGCTCGCGCTCATGGAGAACTCCCCCGTCTTCGACAGCGACGCGACGCCGCGGACGCCGATGACGTCGCCGCGCTTGATCCTCCCGTGCACCGCGGCGAACGTGTCGTCGGCGTAGTCGGCGAGGGCGGAAATCACCTGCACGACGTCCGCGTCCCCCTGCAGCGTGAGGAAGTGCAGCTTCGCGCCGGAGCTCCGCTTGCTGACGATGCGGCCGGCGATCGTCACGACCTCCGTCGCCCGCTGGCCCTTCTCGCTCAGCTGCGGGGCGAAGCGCGCCTTGAAGGCGGGGATCGTGTACTGGCGGTCAAACTTGTGCGGGTAGGCCGCGCCGAGGAGGCCCAGCTCCCGCACCATCGCCAGCCGCGTGTCGAAGTAACTGAGCTCCGGCGCCCGCGCCGTCTTCTTCGACGCCTCCACGGGAAGCCGCCTGCGCAGCTCCGTCATCCGGGCGACGAGGGCCCGGCACTCCTCGCTGCCCGCCCCCTTCTCCCTCTTCGCCCGCGCAATCTCCGCGGCGAGGGCATCAACCTCGGCCCGCGTCTCACCCGCGTCTGGCATCCTGCACGCTCGCTCGCTCTCTGTGGCGTGCGCAGCCACACACACACACACACCCGCAGACGCGGCGCGGGCACGGGGCCACGAAGGGGGATGAAAAAAAGGCAACAACGGCGATGCACCGACAAACAGGGGAGGAAGCAAAGGGGCGAAGGGACGCACCGTACGGCGCGGCAACTGGGCAAAGCAAACACACGCGGAATAGCAAACAAATAAGAAGAAATAACTGCGCTGCACCTCAACCCCATGTCCCGCACGCACCCGCCGACACAACCCCCACCCCTCCCCCTCGCGCCCGCTCCGGCTCCGGCTCCGGCTCCCACACGCACGCACAGAGAGAGAGAGAGAGGAGGGGGGGGAGCGACCACCCACGGCCACTATGGCCCTCACAAACTCCGCAGAGGTCGAGAGGCCCCTCGAACACGTGGGAGAAAAATAGCCACAAAATAAAAAACAACTAAAAAAAGGGGGAAAAAATAATGAATCGTCGCTCGCTGCAAACCACACACCCGCAGAGCCCTCCTGTGGCGCCACACGCCCACCCCACACGCACACGCACGGCCTCCCTTCCCTCCCGGAGGCGGCTGGCGGAGAGGGCAGCACCGCCCCGCACGGCACGGGCATGCCACGCAAAACCACGCGGTCGCGGCAGTAGACTCCCACGCAAAGAGGAGGAGCGGTGGGGGGAGGGAAGGAAAACAAAGAAACAAATAAAGAAAACAGGGGCGAGAAAATGTCACACCGCTCAGCGGCTCGCCCACTGCTTCTATACCCATGTCCAACGACACAAAAAAAAACACGTACAGCCCTCATCACAGTTGGCTACCAACTGCCGCACCGGTTAATGGGGGCAACGCCCTTAAAAGGATGCGTTCCATCTTCTTCAAGTCCGCCAACGGCACAAACTCGTTCGGCTGATGCGCGCAGTCGCCGGCGGGGCCCCATACGACGGTGTCAACACCACGCATACTGTAGTCGGGGGCCTCCGTGCAGCCGGCCAGGTACGCCGGCTCGCGCGGCTCCTCGCTGGCGGCCTTTAGTGCTTCATACACAAAAGATTTGTCGCGCCCCTTGAAGGGGTTCTGCGCGTTCGTGCAGCGCATCTCCACGCCGCAGGAGGCGTCCACCTCCTTCATCTTCTGCGACGTCGCAGCGACAAAGTCCGCGACGCGCCTCTGGATCTCGTCCCCGGAGTGGTTGGGAATGTAACGAAATTCGAACGTGACGTAGCAATCCGCCGGCACCGTGTTCATGGCGATACCGCCATGAATGATGGAGGGGCACACAGTGGTGTACGGGACGGCGTGTCCCTTTTGGAAGGGGCCTTTCTCACAGAACTCCTGCCCCAGGTCGCGCAGAAACCGCACAATGTCGGCTCCATGCTCAACGGCGTTGCAGGCGTAGGGCAACAGGGACGAGTGCATCGCCTTGCCGCGCACGTGAATGACGTTTGTCTTGATGCCCTTGTGCCCCATGACGAAGTCGAATCCCGTGGGCTCGCCAATGATGCAGCCCTCCGCAGTGCCCACGGGGATGCCGGCGTCTTTCACCAGCTGCCGCACCCCCGCAAAGTCGGTCTCCTCGTTGTACGTCCAGGCAAAGTGGATCGGCTTCGCCCGCTTCATCTTCAGCAGCTCGGGGGTGAGCGCCATGCAGACGGCGACGAAGCCCTTCATGTCGCAAGTCCCGCGCCCGTACAACTTCCCGTCCCTCTCCGTCAGCGTGAACGGGTCGCTGTCCCACTCCTGCCCGTCCACCGGCACCACGTCGGTGTGGCCGCAGAGAAGGATGCCGCCCTCCGTGGCGCCGCCCTCCCCCGGCAGCGTCGCCCACAGGTTCGCGTGGATGCCGTCGGGTGCCCGCTGCACCAGCACCTTCTGCAGGCCGCACTCTTCCACCAGGTACTTGCGGATGCACTCGATGAGCTCGAGGTTCGAGTTGCGGCTCGTGGTGTCGAAGGCCACCAGCTTCGCCAGCCACTCAACGGAGTCCATTGGCATTTGCGCCCCTCCCTGCCCCCACACTTGCTCCGCTTGCGAACGAAAGAGCCTCCTCCGCGTCGATGCGTGTGCTTGCAAACTTGCGCAGCCACACACACACACACACACCCGCAGACGCGGCGCGGGCACGGGGCCACGAAGGGGGATGAAAAAAAAAAGAGTCGAGGGGTTGAGGAGAAACGCGGCGACAGTGAGACCCATGCGGAGGCTCACGCACAGAGAGAGAGAAACACTTCCTGACATCACTGTCCCCGCGGCCGTGTGAGACACAAAGTCAATGATGTAATTCACGGAGCAATAACAAAAATTAGTGTAGTAGTCGCAATACTAGTCGGAAGCAGCAGTATTTGTGGCATCGACTGCAAATGAGTCGCACCCATCACTATCGTTTTCTCTCTCCCTCGTCTTTTCATTCTTTTTTTTTCCTTTTTCCTTTTTTCAACTCGCATCGTTGATTCTTTCGCCGAACTTAAATTCACACTCTCTCACGCACACACGCACACGCACACGCACACAGAGCCACCGACACACATACGCACAGTGTGTTTATATTTGTATAGCGTATACAGTACAGTATGATGTGTGTGTGTGTGTATATTTATATGTATGGCTGTGGGCGCAGACGCGTGTGTGTGTGCCGGGGGGCCGCGTGGTTGTTGTGCGGAGCGCCACTTGCAGCGCCGGGAGTGAAGGGGGAAACCGGAAACAAAACAAACATGGGGGGAAACAAAAGCAAAAACAAAAACAGAGGGCGAAGCCAAAGAAAAAGTCCTAAGGGAAACTCACTCAATCGCACGCAGACAAGTATGAAATCTAACAAACGGTTTCTCGGGTCTAGGCAGAAGACCACAAACAACTCGCGAGACTTTTTTAAATTTTTTGAAACGAAGAAGAAAAAAAAAAAAGACAAAAACAATATTTTTCGTTTAAACAACGAAGCGTTGATGACGAAGAAGTTCGCCCTCAACGCCCGCGCAACAGCCAACAGGAAGGCCGGCGGGAGGAGAAGTAGCAAAGTAAAGTGGGAAGGAGGCGTGCGGGGCACACACCGCAGGTGCTGCGCGTAAGATCTCTTCTGCCCACAGACACACTACGCATAGCTGCACGTACGCGCTCCCAGCGTGTCGGTGCTTGTGTGGCGGCGCCTCGTGTTGTGTTCAATGCACGCCCGCACCGGGGAAGAAGACCAGCCCCACCTTGGCACGGAGGCGTACACCTCATTTCGTGCAGGTCACCTGCCTTCCTATTCCATCGCGCTTCTACTTATCGCTGCGGCTGTGTGTTGTTGTTTTTTTTTTCTTCCTACTGCTGCGTGTACGCAGCTCCCCGCACGCGCACGCGTCTATGCAGTTGCGCGCGGGGAACCGGGGGAGCCGTCTGCCGCGCTCTTGCGCAACTCCCCCGGCCCCCCACCGCCAGCTTCCGACTTCTCCCGTGGGCTCCTTCACGCCGTCCCACGTTCCCCCCCCCCCCCTCGCTTGGCTTGGCAGTAACTTTCCTCTTTGCATATATTTTTCCCCGTGCTTGTCTCTTTTTAAGTCTCGATTTCTCAACGTGTCTGCGTGTGTGGGCTCCTCCCTCCCTTCCACCCGCCTCAAAACACCGTATGAGGGCAGCAAACAAAGTCCCGTCCTTCTGACGGACGTGGTGGGGAGTAACCGGCAAAGTTCTCTCTCGTCGCGTCGCCGCAGCACCGACGGCAGGCCCGTCGCCTATACTTTTTTTATTTTCCTTTTTTTTTATTTCGTTACTTCTTTTGTCTCTCGCTTTCAGCAACGCGTGCGGCCTTATCGTTCGGTTTTGCCTGTATTTTTTCTTTTCTTTTTTTTTTGTTTTGTTTTGTGGCGGTTGCGCCGCTTCTGCCCGCGTGCACCACACAGCAGGAGGGGGCACGTGTGCGTGCAAAAGCAACGCAGTGCCCCCTCACGCCTCTCCTCCCCGCGCGCGCTCGCTCTGCCGGCGGCGGCGGCGCTAGAGCATTGCGAACCCCCTGCTGCCGAAGGTGATGGCCAGCATCAGCTTCCGCCGCAGCTCCTCGCAGCTCGGGTACTCCGGCAGGTCAATCTTGTTGAAGCAGGTGTGCGCCTGCGGGAGCAGGTCGACGCTGTCGCCCCACCGCGTGATGGTGAACCGCTGCGTCGCCCCGCTCGCCGACTCCAAGTTGCTGAACCCTCCGTGCGGCACCTTCGACGCGCCGGTGGCGAACTGCAGCAGGTTTGCGCGGTCCTCCTTTGTCATGGACGCGACCACCTCCCAAAACCACCGGATCTGCGGCGAGGTGGCGGTGTAGCCGTCGTAGAGCGTGTGCACCCGCAGGTCCTCCACGTCAATGTCGGGCATGCCGCAGATGACGAGCTCGAGCTCCTGCGCCGTAAAGTTGCGTATCTCCTTCCGTGGGATGACGGTGTAGAAGCCCTTGAGAAACTCCTCCATTTGCTGCTCAATTTGCCGCGTCATGTGAAACTCGCAACGCAGCCGCACGTACTGGGACTTGTTCGCGTTGGTCACGGCAACGTGCCCCCCGTTCGGCACCAGCTCGGTCTCCTGAACGACGCCAAAGCGCTCGCAGCTGACGGTGAAAAAGAGCCCCAGGTCGTTGACGTCGTTGCGCAGGAGCCAATTGAGGTTGTCGTACAGCTCCGGGTCGACGCTCTCGAGGTCGCGGAAGATGGGCTGCACGCCCGTCATGTGACGGTACACCGCCCGCGTGAAGTGCACGTCGAGGGGGACGCCGTGGGCGACCGCCATGCCCACCACCGTGCCGGCGAACTTGAAGTAGTGCAGGTGGTTTGGGTTGACGTCGGAGAAGGGGTTCGGCCGGTACGTCATCCCCTCGCGGGAGTGGATGAAGAGGGCGTAGTTGTCGTTCACCATCTCCTCCGCGAGGAGCTGAAACCACTCCCGCGTCAGCCCGCCCGCGTCGGCGCCCTCCTCGCCGCGGAAGCGCACATTCAGGGCGCCGTGGAAGCTCTTCAGCTTGGAGAGCTGGGCGAAGCTGTCGCGCAGGCACTGATCGCGGCTGATGCTCAGGCTAATGCGGGACCCGTGCGTGGTGTGGCTTATGTGCCGCTGGAAGTCGAGCAGCCGAATATTGAAGTCAATGAACCCGGGCTCCGCCTTCAGGAAGGCAAAGCTCTCCTCCAGCAGCTTCGGGTCGTACTGGATGAGGGTGTTGATGGTCATCTTATTGCGCTCCACAAACTGCCGCACCAGACGGGGCAACGCAGACCGCTCGTCGCGCGTCGATTCGGCTGCCTCGCCACTTCCGCCCTCTGAGATGGGCCGCCGCGGCGGATGCGATCGTCCAGCTTGCCGCGATTGTTGTTGTTCTTGCTGCTGTTGTTGTTGCTGCTGCTGCTGCCTCGCCTCGGCGCGTGCGAGCGCGTTCACGGCGGCCTCAGAAACGCTGGACGGCGTGTGTGTGGTGTCCAGCATGAACCGCTCCGTCTCCGTCTTCTCCACCGCGGTGCCGCTGTGGCTCTCCAGCCCCACACTCGTGGAGCACGACCCCCGCCGCGCCTCCGTCATGTGGAACTGGCAGAACCGCGTCAAGAGGAGGAGAACCGCGTGCGGCAGCAGCACCGAGAAACTATTCTGCTGCCGCTGCAAGATGGACGCCACCTCGGCAAGGTACATCTGTGAGGCGTGCCACATCAACGACACCTCGCGCAGCTCCGGCCGATGCGTCTCGGCGTACGGCAGGAAAAACGCGTGCAGGTGGCTCGCCGTGCAGCTCAGGTTCAGGTGGGAAAGCGCCACGCTCGCCTCCTGTGGGGTCCACTCCCTGCCCGCCGCCTCGCCGCCGCTGATGAAGCCGCTGCCGGCGGGCGCCGCCACCGCGCCGGGGCCCCCGGACACCTTGTTCGGGAAGGCGCTGCGGAACGCATTGACCCGCGTATGCACCTCCGCCGTGAGCTCCTTTGCGAGTCCGACGATAATGCGCTCCACCACCGCAATGGGGCTGTCATTGTCCCCAAACATGGTGTCGCGGCGTGCGCTTTCCATGATGCCGCGCCGGAGCAGCTGCACCGTCCGCAGCGCCATCTCGCTTGTGCAGCTTGGGTTGGCAAGGAGCCGCGCGGCCGTCTGCAGGGTACCGTTTGACGTCACAAGCGCGTAGGCGCAACGACGCACGCGCCGCGCCTGCTCCTCCGCCGTCAGCGTCACGAGTCTGCACTGCGGGCAAAGCACGTAGTGGCAGCTTGAGCAGCAGAAGGCAAAGGTGTCGTGTAGCAGCTTCGTGGCGCAACAGTCGCAGACAAAGTTGCCGTCCGGGCAGGGATACTGGCAGAGACTTGTCCACTGCAGCACGTGGGCGTGGCGGGGGTGCAGAATGCGCGTTCTGGACAAAGGCGTGGGGGACGGCGCCCGCGGGGACCGCGGCCTCACTTTGTCCTCCTCAAGCGCCCGCAGCTGCTCGTTAAGCGCCGCAGCTATCCGGGTGAAGGACAACTCCGCGCGCGGCGACGGAAATCGCAAGACGACCTCCACAAGCCGTCGGAAGAGGCCCGCGTCCATCGCCCGCCGCTCCGCCTCATCGTACGGTTCGTCCACGGGCTTAGGCGGCCCGCCCTCCTCAACACCGTCGGGGAGCATCGTGAAACTCAGTCCGGCAGCGCGGCAGCGCTCAATCAAATTCTCCACGACAAACACCACCTGAACCGCAATGCGGCCACAGTCGCGCCTCGCCTGCTCCTCCGGCGCTGCAACGGCGAGAGTGCTCGCCGATGGCCCATCCAGGGCCACATCGAGCAGGTTCACTAACGCCTCCGTCGCGGTTGCCGTGTTCCCGCACACCGTTATGAGCAGCACCACAAGCTGGGAGCTCACGGAGAGGCTCGAGGAGGCGCACCCGTAGTCCAGCGACGGGAAGCCGCCCTTGGCGAAGCAAATCAGTTCCATAAGCTGCCGAAGCACCGCAATGGGGACGGGGGGAACAGGGGCGTGCGCGCCCATTTCACCGCTTTGACGGTCCGGGGGCAGCGGCACCTTCTCCTCGCGAGTGTAGCGGCTCTGCAGCAGACGAATGCGGGAGTTGAGGACGGCCTCGGTCATGCGGTTGTGGCCCCGCGGCGGGCGTCCCGGGCGGCGGGTCCCGTTGCCGCCATTTTCCGCGCTGCTGCTGTTGTGGTTGCCGCCGCTGCCCGCGGGCGGCGCCTCCGCGCGGCCCAGGCGAGAGGGACGGCCGATGTTTTCCCCAAGCACTTGGCGCTGCAAAAACCACGGAAACCGCGGGTCCTCCGGCGGCGCCCGAAACAGTTCGTTGTACCGCATCGCCCCAGACGCCACGTCAATGCCCTCCCTGTCCGCCTCGTCCCGTGCCCCCCGCAGGCGCCCGCCCTCCCCCTCGTCAACGCCCTGGGCCTCCATGCTCTGAAGCTCGCGCAGCACAGTGGCCTCCGCAAGGAGGGCGGGGTTCCCCTCAAGATCTCGCAAGTCGCACGTGAGCAGAATGTCACGCCGTACCTCCGCGTCGACGGTTGCGAGAACTTCGGTAAGAAACGTCGGCGCCTCACCGCCCTGCGCCCCGCCGCCGCCCGAGTCGTCGCCGGTAACTCGCCGCCAGCGATGCTCCACTTCGATGGCTTCCATCCGCACATCTTGTGGCAGTTGGTTCATAAATGCGGCGTAGATGCGTGTGCGTTGTCCCCCCTCCGCCCGCTCTTGCCCGCACAAAAGCAGGTTCATGTGGTCAAAAAGTAGCTCACGGCGGAGCGACTCTGGCAGTTCCAGAAGGAAGTGGGGCTCGATTGCCCCGAACCACGGCTGCTGCTCCATTGGTGGCTCCGCAGCAACGGCCTCTGGAGGTGCCGCGTTGTCAGCCGTGCTCTGCGGCTCGGCCACGGCAGTAGTAGTAGTAGTAGTAGTAGTGGTAGCAGCAGCAGCAGCAGCAGCAGGCGGGGAGGCGGAATCCCGTGACTCTTCCGGCGCGTCAACATGCACGGCCAAGGAGGAGGTGGTGGTTCTCGGTGGTGGCGTCGCCGTCGCCTCAGCGCTCGCGGCGGGATCGGCGGTGCCGAAAAAGAGCGCGCAGATGCGTGCGTTGGCGCCCTCCACCCTGCTGTTGTGCTCGTCACCGGCTCTGGTGGCCGCGTCGGCGCTGCCGCGAGCGCTCGCTCTCCCCTCCGCCTCCGTTCCCGCCGTCTCAGTGGCGCCGCCCGGCCCCTGCGGCGTCTGGCCGCCTGGCGCACACGACTCCGGTGCCGCCACCGCCGGGGGAGAGAGCGAGCGAGGCGGTTGCACCTCGCGGGCGTGCAGCACCGGCGGCAGCGGCTCAAGCATCAGCATCTTGTCCCACAAGGAATCCACCGCGTCGTTGATCGCCTCGCAGAGGGTCACAATGCGTGGAATAACGCTGTGGCGGTCGCTGCCGCCGAGGCCGCTGTAGTTCATCTCAAGCATATCCCGCCGGTTCCGGGTGAGCAGCTCCAGCACGGCCGAGGGAACCTGGCCGGAGAGCAGCGTCCAGTCATCGTCGTCGATGGGAACCCGGCTGAGCACGGCGTCGTGCGGGGCGAAGTCCCACTCGTCGACGTCGCTAAACTCCTCTGCGTGGCCCCCTGGCAACCCCAGCACTATCCCGGACGGCGCCGTGCGCAGGAAGGGCGGGGAGTCGACCACGTAGGACAGTTCCTCCACGTCCTCTTCCTCCTCTTCCTCCTCCCCGTTGCCGTCGTGCTCCGCCTCCTCCATGTCGCCTTCGTCCTCCTCCCCGCTACCGTCGTCGTCGTCGTCGTCGTCGTCCTCCTCCTCCTCGTCGCCGTCGTCGTCGTCCTCGTCCTCCCCGCCGCTCGGTTCGGCGAGAGCCGAGAAGTTCCGCAGGCTCATCCGCACCGAGATGGGCGTGGAGGCGTGGCCGGGGCTCTCCAGCGCCGCCCCGACGATGCCCAGGCGCTCCGCGTCCTCGTCGTCCGCGGCATCCGGCTCGTGCCCGCTGTCGCTCCCCGAGGAGCCATGCGTGTGGTACAGCAGCTCCGCCTCGATGGGGCGCAGCATCTCGCCAATGTCAAACATGACCTCCGTCAGGGCCCCCTCCCGGCGCGTTTGGATCCGCCGGCTTTCTCTGAGGCCGTTCAACCCCCCGCCACGGCCGCGCTCGTGGTGCCCGCTGACGAGGTCGTCTAGGAAGAAGGCGTCGTCCACGGCGCCGGAGGGCTGCGTGCGCGGGGTCCGCGAGACATCGCCCTCGTCGAGTAGAAGCATGCTGGACTCCTGCGGCGGCACCGAGTCGGCGGAAAACCGCTGCAGCGGCTGCTGCCGGGGCGAAACCGCGGCGCCGCCGCCGCCACCAGCACCACCACCACCACCGCCCTCCGCGTCGGGGCGATCATCCGCTCCGGTGGTTTTCTTGTCGCCGCCGCCGTTCCGCTTGCTGCTGCTTCCGTTGCACTTGCCGTACGCCAACAGCACACGTCGTATGACCAGCAGCAGCGCCGCCGCGTCCCGCTCATTCGTGCAGCAGCGCTTCTCCACCATGCGATACAGCACCGCGAGGGCGTCGCGTTGCCACAACTCATCGCACAGCCGCCACACGAGGGAGCTCCACGGGGCCCCCAGCAGGATTCGCAGGACGTGCAAAAGGCTACACGCCATGTCCACCGGCGAGGTATTCCGCGACCGCACACCCTCGCGCCCTCCTTCTTCCTCCGCCGCGTCGCGGGTGGCGGGCAAGGGCGCGGCCGCCAACATCACTTCGATCGCATGCAGCAGCAACTGCACCAGGCGTGAGGGCGCCTTCTGCGCGACGTTAAAGAAGAACCCCTCGAGCAACTCCAGCTGCGACTTCTCCATGTATAAAATCACCGCCAAAAATGGCGTGAGGCAAAGTGGCGCCTCCCGCGAGACGGCGGTGTCGCCGCACGGGCACGGTTGCTGCGCCTGCTCATCCTCGCTCGCCCTGCTGTCCGCAAAGACGCCTCGCATACCCTCCGGAATCTGCGCCGTGACGTTGTACGAGGTGACGATGGAAGCGACGGAGGGGAGCGTCGTAATGTGGTTCAGCACGCTGGTGACGAGCGCCGGCGTCAGCGGCCACTCCCCCAGACGTTGGATCAACATGTCAAAGACCTTTTCCACGGCCAGGCGGTGGGGGGTGCGTGACCCGCCCAACACATTTTGGCGCGGCGGCTTGCGCGGCGCGAGCCAGACGGTGGTCTTGACGTCCTCCTGCCCAACGCCGTGGCTGCCAACGTGCAGAATGAAGACAACGCAGGAGGCGTTAAACACCGTGTAGAACGCCTTTGGGTGCTTGTCAATGACGGAGCGAAGGGCGACGAGGAAGTCATTCAGCAAGACCGCCTGCCGGTGCACCTCTGCGAGGCCACGGCCGTGGTGCGCCTTGCACGCATAGAAGTGGGGAGCGTGCCGTGCGCACAGCTCCTGCACATCCTTCTCCTGCAGGGCGTAGGAGCCGCCCAGTCGTATCTCGTTTTGGATGGCGCTCACCATGGCTGAGTACACCACCCACTCCGTGTGCTCCGGTTGGTCGAGGAGCGCCTTCATGACCGGCACGCGTGGGCCTGACACGGGCATGTCGCTGCGCAGCAGGCGGGAAATGGCGCGCAGCAGGAAGCCCTTCTTCGTCGTCTCGTTCAGCTGATAGAGGTGTGCAACGAGGGAGATGTCGGCCGAGCCCAGTACCTTGGCGAGGAAATCCACCGCAATGTACGTGACAGGGGTCTCCAACACATACAACTCGCGCGGCTTCTTATTTGGCTGCTGCCGCCCGTTGGCGTGGCCGCCGCGTCGATCCGCTTCCGTCTCTGCCTCCGCCTGCTCCTGCACCCTTTCCTTTTCCTGCTCCGCCGAGTCGGCGTCCTCCTCTGCCAGGTAGTCGAGCAAGAGCTCGGCGCACTGCTGCAAGAGGTCCTCCGGCAGCATGGAGGTGCCGCCCAGCACATCGGCGAGGCGGAGCTCCACCTTGGCCGCATCCCCAACAGCACAGCCCGTTGCCCTGCTACTAATCCCAGCAGCAGTAGCAGCAGGCGTCGTAGGCGCCGGGGAGGTGAGAGGAAGTTGCCCAGTAGACACCGCATTCGCGTTCTCCACCTCCCTCGTCGCTGAGCAGCCGGCGCCGTTGCCGCCGTCGCCCTCCCCGGGGCGTGGGTTGCTGCCTGCTTCCTCCGGCGAGGCCTCCTCCGCCGCCTCGCACGGGTCGCCGTAGCCGAAGCCGTTGAGGAGTGCGGTGACAGTGGCCACCAGGTCCGAGGACGCGTTCGAGATGAACGGGCGACGCTGCGCGGCCCGGTTCTGCGGGTGCAGGTGCCGGCAGAGGTGGCCCATCCAACAGAAGTTGGACGGGCTGCTGCGGTAGTACGCACACACCCGCGGCTTTTTCTCGCCCAGCGTGTTCACCGACGAGGCGGAGAGAAAGCAGAAGAGCTGCCCCAATATCGCTTTGCGCTGCCGCCGCAGCCGCTGCCGCTGCCGCTGCACCGCATCCGACGACGACTCCGCCGCCGCCGCCTCCTCCTCCTCCAGCCGCCGGACCTCCGCCGTGACGCAGTCGAAAACGGCGCGGGGGAGCTGCGTCTTCCTGAAGAGCGCGACGAGGTACTTCTCCGTCTCCTCCTGCGAGAGAAGCACGGCGAGCAGCTCCAGCAGCGTGGAATTGGGCACGGGGTCCTCCAGAATGCGGCGGATGATGCGCTGCAGGGTGACGGGCCTCTCGCCGACGGACTGCGCCACGAGTCTGCCGTTCGTCTCCCTCGATCGCGTGAAGGTGGTGTAGGTCCAGCAGACCCTACAGCAGAGCCGCCGCATCTGCGTCTGCTCCAACTCCGTCACCCCGTCGGCGAAGCGCTGCGTCGCCGCAACGTCGATCACCCACTCCCGCGCACGATCCGCCAGCGAGGCTCGCGACGACGCGCGCCGCTGCGGCTGCTCCCCGGCAAGGGGGGAACCCGCGCCATCCTCCTCCGCCACCGCCGCGTGGTCGCCGTCGCCGTCGCCGTCAATGCCCCTCTCCTGCAGCGGGGGCTCCGACCAAAAGGACGCCAGCTGCAGCATGTCCCTATTCTCGTTCTCGGAAATGTGCGCAAGCACCGTCGCCAGCGACCGGTCGGCGTTGCCGTCGAAGATGTCCGTGCCGAAGTCCAACAGCCGCGGCAAGATGCCAAGCGTCATCACTGGGGGAAAAGCTGAGGCCGTGGTCTTGCCAAACGACAAGCGCAAAGTACAGGAGTGGCTGCACCCAGGGGCGGCGGGCCGAGCTCCGCTCCGAAGTCACCTTCAGAAGCAGTTCAAAAATGCGCGTCAGGGAGGTCACGACAGCCAGGAGCTTCGACGACGACGACGACGCCGGCGCCGCCCCCGCAGCCTCGTCGCTCATATCCTCCTCGCAACGAACGCGTGTCGTCATTGCGCCACTGTCTGTGACGGTAGCCGCTGCAGCGTGTGGTGCCTTGCTACGCGGCAAAATGCTTTCCGTTATGAACTGCAGGTACAGAAGAACGCTCGTAAAAAGCACCGTAAAACCGATGTCCGGGTTGCTGCCATTCCGCCAAATGATGGAGGTCGGTCCCTCGGCGAAGCGCAGTCGCATCTCCAACTCCTTCAGCTTCGACACTTCCAACGCATCCAGGGCGACGGCGCGGAGTGTCTTCTGAATCCCCGCGGCAATCACGCTATCCTTGGCGTCCACCTTCAACGCTTCCAGATGCCATTCAACGGCCCCCCGCATGCTCTGCGTGATGGATTTCAAGACCTTCTCCGCCCCACCCAGCAGGTGGGTGATGCCCACGGGCAACAGGCACTGCTGGTTTGGCGACAGGAGGCCGTGGTGGCGGTACACGCGGCTGGGAGAGAAATACTGTCGGCGGCGATCAGCGGGTGGGGCAAGCATCAGCGCAATGCTTTGACGGAAAAGGTCCACCGCGCTCAACGTCCCTCGCTCCGCGTCGGCGGCATCTGGCGACACCCGCGCCTCCGGCGCCGGGTAGAGCGAGCCCTCCGGGTAGCTCATCCCAGGCGACCACGGCCACTCCGCGGCAAAGTCCATCTCTGACGAGAGTGGCGCCGAGGCGGCCGCGGGGGCGGCGAAGCGTGAGGCCGCCAAAACGGCCCCGTACCCCTCCACTTCCGCAGGCGTCGGCTCCGGGGCGGGGCGATCCCCCTCGTCGCGGCTGGTGGGGGAGGCGACCCTGCCGCCCGCCACCTCCAGCGCGACATAGGTGTCGAAGAGCAGGTTGCCCAACTCGCACCGAAGCTTTGAGATGGCCTGCGGGAGCGAGGTCTGGAACTTGCAGAAGGCCCACGAGAGCAGCAGGAGGGAGCTCGCCTGCCCCTCGCTGAGGCCGCCGTTCGGCGCCAACCCAGAGGCCTGGACGAGTTCAGCGAGCCTCTTGACGTGGCTGAGAATCACAGTGGAGATTGCGTCGAGCATCGGCAAGGGGACGTTGCTCACAAACAAGCTCAGGACGGTGTAGTTGGTAGAAACGACGGTCATTCGCTGCGGTAATTGCAAAAGCGCCCGTATCGTCTGTGACAGCGCCACACTGTGGCTAGCAAACATCTGCACGATCATTTCACCCGTCAACGTGTTCCGGTCGGGTACATGGTTGCGCTGACGTCGGTGTTGAACGCGCTGCGTCAGTTGACGAAACTCTGCCCCTGCGAGCAACGCAATTATGTTCCAAATGGAGAGTGCAACCTCCTCGGGTGGGTTCTCGCGCTGCGACGCCGCCACGAGGCCTGAAAGCGTCTTGAAGCAGGCATCCAAGAAGTCGTCCAGCAAATAGGGCAGCGTGCGAAGCAGCGACATGAGATCCTTGCCAGCAGCCGTGGCGGCTCGGGTGCTTACACGCAGCGGCGTCGGTGCCCCCGCTACCGTCGCGGATGATGCAGGGGAAACAGGCACGACGAGCGCCCAAACTAGGCTCCACATCAACTGTGGCTTGCAAAGCTGTGCATGGGTACTGTTATGCACCGCAAAGGCCTGTAAAACGCTGCAAAGGTCTAACATCGGGAGAGCCTGTTCATAGTACGCCATTGGGTCCACCAAGGCCGTGGCGTCGGTGTCGCTACTAGAGGCAGCAGTGGCGCGTTGTGCAGCATCCTCCGTCTCGCTCGTCGGCGGGGCGGATGTGTCAGGAAGCCTGCCATCAGAGCTGCCTGCCTTCTCGGCCGACTGGGCAGCTGTGGTCTCTCCTTGTTCCGCACTCTGTGGGTCGTTTGCTGCGGCGGCCGATGCCGCCCCGAGGGTGCGCTGGTTGTACCGCTTGAGAAGCGTGGGGTTCTCGCCAATGTCCAAAATGGTGTGCAGTAGACCCCGCTGAAGCAACGCGGGCACCACGTCGCGGACGTTGTGGTGGATGCAGGCCGCAAAAAAACGAAACGCGGCGGCGAGAAGCACGGGGTGTCCATCGGGGTGCAGGATTCTCTTGCATATGTGCTGGCAAAGCTCGTAGCCGTCCTCCTCGTCTGGGGTGAGCAGAAAGACAATTGGGTTTATCGACTCGTGCGTCGAGACGGTGGCGAGCCGCTCCAGCACAAAAAAGCACCAGCGCAGGACCCGCACCGCCTCGTAGGTCCAGCCATACACGAGGGTGCGCTCCGTTCCGCGCCTTCGGCGGGCGTGCTGCTGCGCATACCCCGCCTCGCCCGGCGGCGGCGGCTGCTGCTCATCCAAGTACGTCCGCATCACCGTCGCGACGGCGCGGACCAGGCCGTGGTTGAGCGCTATCGACGTGTTCGCGCCCTCCCGCGCGAGCGCGAGGCTGCGCATGAGCTGCACCGCGCAGTAGTGGGGCTGGAAGCGCAGGATGTCGGTCAGCTGCGCCACCATCGCCGGCACCATCGCGGCGTGTCCCGTGGCGTTCGGGGCCGTGAAGAGCGCGAGGTGGGTGCTGTGGTACTCCGTGAGGAGTCGGAACTGCCAGTCCTCCGCGAGGCAGCGGTGGCTGCCCTCCTGGAACTTGCGGTGCCGCGGAACGATGCAGCTCACGGCCTCCAGCGGGTTCTGCACGTAGCGCATCGAGAGGAGGCCGGAAATTACGGCGCACCCGCGCAGCGCAAAGTGCCAGGCGTGCACGACGTCGGCGATCGTCCCGACGAGCGTCGCCGCCTGCGCCACCGCCGGGCGCAGCTCGGCCTCCTCCTCCTCCTCCTCCTCGTCGTCGTCGAGGTCGGCTTCCTCCAGGATGGCGGGGAAGAGCCGCTCCGTGCGCCAGATGCTGCGGAAGAAGGCGCTCAGGGGCCCCGCGAGCACCTCCTCCCGCTCCGAGCTCGGCAGCAGCTGCGTGCACAGCAGCCGGCAGCGGCACCACCACAGCAGCCGCTCCGCATCCCCCGCGGCGGCCGCCATGTTCCGCAGCACCGTCTCGCTCATCTGCACGGCGTCGGGCTGAGTGGCGCCGCTCCGCGCGGACCGTGGCAACATCCTCTCGTGGAAAAGTCGCAGCGGGTCCTTCACAAAGTCAGGGAGCTGCAGCGCCGCGGCGTCCTCGTCCTGCTCGCGACACGCCCCCGCGTGCTGCCTGCGCCGCTGCCGCGCCCGCAGCGCAGACTTCACAACATCCTCAAAGGTGGGTGAGGGGCCCCACCCGTGGGCCACCGCCCGCATCAGGGCAACGCCGTCGAGCGCCTTGTCTGGCAAATGCATCTGCGTGAAGTTAAGAAGAAGGCCGAGGTAGACAATCGATGGCTCGCGGCACAGCAGCAGGCGGATGTTGCCCGGCATCGCAAGGCAGCCCTCATCCCGCACCATGCGGTACGGCGCCCCCATCACCGTCAACAGCAGCAGCATGGAGTGCAGGTCCTTGTAGCCGTCATCGCCCTTGGCTGTCGCCGCGGTCTCCGGCTTCCCCTCACGCTCCTGCCCCACCTCCGCCTCCGCGCTTGCAACCGGGAGGTTCTGGCCTGCGGTGGCAGTGGCCGCCACTGTCCCCGCGTCGGCCTCCTCGGCGAGGTCGGTGTCCGCGTCTTTGTCCTCGGCATGCTGAGTGCGGCTCAAGTTGTCTGCGGAGTGCGTGCGCAGCCACTTGTACCCCACGCCCCTCAGCAGCTCCACAAATTCCCTGTTGTACATGCTGTTCACGTCGCGGTGGAACGCCTCGTCGTGCAACATGGCCTCGAATACCCTTGGCGCCATTGCGAGGTTCCCTAGACACTCTCGCAGGCGCGATGTATAGTGCTGGAGGACTGGCGGCGGCAGCGGCAGATACTGCCCAGTCAGTGCCTCAGCATAGTGGTACTGCCCCCCCAGTTGTCCGCGTGCCGTTCCTATTCGTCCCAGCATCTCACCATTCCACGCCTCCCCTAGGCGTGCTTCTTTTGGCTGCGGTTGTTGCTTGTTTTTAGCTTTATTTCTCCTTTTTTCTCTTTTTTTCTTTTTTGGGGGTCTGGGAGGGGAGGGAAGAGATTTCAGTCGGATTACGCTGCTGTTTTTCCCCTCGGCTTGGTTGCGGGTCTCGGGCGGGGCACGGGCCTGCTTGTGGCCACCCCTCTGCTCCCCGGCTGCGGACTCACGCCACACTCACGCACTTCACGCGTGTCACGGCACACACAAGCACACACACTCAAGAGAGAGAGTGAGAGAAAGAGGAAATAGGGCTAAGAAGAGGCCGGGCGGTTATTGGTAACTTTTCTCTCTGTCCCGGCCTGTTTCTTCGCCGCCGCTGCTACTACTGCTGCTGCTGCGGTTTACTTTGAGTTGTTTTGGCTGTTGTTGCTGTCTTTTTGTTTTGTTTTGTTCCTCTTTTTTTCCTGTGTGTGTGTGTAGGTATGTGCGCCTTTCCTGATGTTTCTTGGTCTGTTTTGTTTTTGTTGCGTTCTCCCTCTTCCTTCTGCTTCGTCGCCTGCTAGTTTCCTCCCCGCCGCTCTCGTCTCCCGCCAGGCGCGCTCACCGCCAGGGG